ATTTCTTTGCTTGATGCTATCAAGTAAATTTTTAAGTATGCCAAATTCTTGAAGGAGTTGTGTACTACCAAGAGAGCTTTCAAACTGAAAGGTTATGAAATGATAAGTATAAGTGAAGTTGAATCTGCTATTATTCAAAAGAATATGCCTTTGAAGTAAAAAGACCCAGGTGCGTCTGCTATCCTTTGTGTTATTGGTAATGCTAGTTTCAAAAGGGCCTTGTGCAATTTAGGTGCATCCAATACTGTTATGCCTAAACATATTTATGATTCTCTTAGTCTTGAGCCTTTGAATAAAACTAGCATTGTAATACAACTTACGGATCGTAGTTTTGTTTACCCATTTGGTGTGATAGAAGATATCCTAGTCAAGATTGATAGTTTGGTCATTCCATGCGACTTTTATATTCTTGATATGGAACATGATTTTTGTGATTTATCAAATAACACTCCTATATTATTTGGGAGACCATTCTTGAAAACTGTCAATACAAAAATTGATTGTGGTAAGGATACTTTGTCTATGGAGGTAGGAGATGAAAAAATTTAATTTAATTTTTATAATGCCATGACATACCCTTATATCAATGTTTATTTTATCAGATGTTATGACCAAGTTGATAAGTGTTTGCAACAAGTTTATGATTTTAATAGTGAGGATGGATTAAGCATAGCTTTGAGCTATGACTATGATTTTACCAAGATATAAGAGATGAAGAAGCATATATGTGTTTCCCAAAACATGCATGAATCATCATTTGCTTTGCAAGTTTTGCAAACTGTTTCCCATGATGCAGGAGTCATTCACCCCATCATGGACGCAACTGCAAGAGTTGGAAGAAATAAAAAATGATACTTACGAGAATGCAAAGATTTACAAAGAAACGCCTATCCTTTTGGTGCCTAAAAATATTGGAATTACATTGGAAGAAATAAAAAATGATGCTTACAAGAATGCAAAGATTTACAAAGAAAAGACTAAGAGTCTTCATGACCGAATGTTTATAAGAAAGGAGTTTCATGTTGGAGACAAAGTCCTTCTTAATCATTCGTATTTGAAACTTTTTCTTGTAAAGTTACGTTCTTGTTGGATTGGATACCCCTTGTTGTTTCTAATATTTTTTCTTATAGTGCAGTTGAAATTACAAGTTTAGAAACTAATAAAGTACTTAAGGTCAATGGGTATTGTTTGAAACTTTTCTATGAAGGTTGGACGACAGAACTCACCGCTTCTGTAGAGTTAGCTGAACCAATCTATGAAGAATGAGCATGCCACATGTCAAGCCAATGACATAAAACAAAAGCGCTTACTGGGAGGCCACCCAGCACAAAAAAAAAATATATATCAGATTTGCTTTCTTTTTCCTTATCTTTTACTTTTTTGTATTTTAATTTATTTTCTGTCATTCTTTTATGTTTCATTGCTTTTATTTCAACATTGAGGACAATGTTGTGTTTTAAGTATGGGGGCATTGGGAAAATTTTGGTTTTTTTATTTTAATTTTCTTTGTTGTTCTTTAAAAAAAATAAATTTGTGTTTGATCTTTTTAACTCCCATTGGTTTTTAAGAATATGAGTATTATGTATGGAAATTAATTGAGATAGATGAAGATATAAATCAAATGAAGGAGTATGCATGCAAATTTTAAGGTTTAATTGGTTTGTGGATTGACTTTGAGAATATGCCATGTTGACTTTATAGTGTTATACCAGTGCAAACTTTTGAGCCTTCAACATTATATTCTTTGAGTGTGCATTCTTTCAATGATATGTATCTCTAAAACTTGCTTCATATCTTATTGAGATTATATTCCATTACAAATATATATGAAAATGATAAAGGCATTAGAAATTTTAACAACTCGAGCCAAAAAGCCAACTGAAAACATATTATCCTTAGTGAGCCCGTTTTGAGCTTATTTATCTTTTTTTTGCTTTATCCATGTATAAGCCTAAACTTTTTATATGTTTTTCTTTTCCCCTGACCAAGGATTAGTAGTGCATATACTTGTGATATCTCATATAATTATGGGTGGAAATTATATGAAAAGAAAGAAGAAGTGAGGCTTGATGAAAAAATAGGAAAAGTTGCCAAAGGTGAAAAAAAAAGAAGAAAAAAATAAATAAAAAAGTATTCCTTTATGTTCTTAAGGTAAAAAGAAAAAAAAGAAGAAGAAAAAATGTTCCTTTATGTTCTTAAGATTTTATGCTTAAAAACAAAAACAGTTAAGCATTGGTGATTAAAGATGAAAAATTTATGAGCTTTGATGGAATATCTTGTTTGAAATATCATTTTTCGGAATGCTCTACTTTCTTTGATTTGAACCTTTTCTTTTACTCTCTTTTACCTCACCTTAACCTTAGCCCAATTACAACCGGAAAATAAGACCTTTTGATTCATGCATTGTTTGTAATATATTAATAATGGAGATGAGATTGAAAAGCAAGCTTATGGTAGAACATACTCTTTGATTGAATTTGAGAGATTTAGACACATAAACCCTAAACACATGAGTGTTGGAGTGTATATCAATGAGAGGACCTATCACTTTGGCATGACATAGATTTCATTTAAATCCCGATGATTAATTGAGTTTTGAAGTTTGTATATAAATGAATTCATGAAAATTTATAATTTTTATCCTTCTTGATTGTATTTTTGTTAATAATGCATATATTCTTGGACATTGATGTTTTGTCAATAATGCATATATTCTTGGACATTGATGGGAGATTAAGAGATTGATCATAGTTATTGTCAATTTGATTTTATTTATCCTTTCTCGAGGACGAGCAAGAGCTAAGTATGAGGGTATTTGATGCAACCATATTATTTGATAGTTTCACCCACATTTAACTAGTGTTTAGCCTATGCTATATATATAAAAAGCCTTGATATTCTTTGTTTCTAATGTTTTGTCCATGTTTTATATGTAAAATGCCTTGATATTCTTTGTTTTATGTTTTGAAGGCACTTTTGGATGAAAAATGCAAAAAGGAGTAAATTGGAGATAATTGGCAGATTTGATGTTCAGTCGATGTTTTGTGCAGAGCGTGATTTCTAGAGATCAAAATGAAGTGATTCCAGTGGCTCTAAAAAGCTAACATCCATACCTTTCTGGAAATGTAATGCAAGAAAAATACAAAGAGGAAGATCATGGAAATCACATCCTTCAAAGTCAAATCTCGTATTCTGCCACTGTTGACCTTTGTCCATTCAAAATTCCATATCTGGAGCTATAGAAGTCCAATTGATGCAAACTCAATTTTGTTGGATTCATGACTCAAAGGTCTAGAAACGCTCCAATTTTCAGCCAAAAACGATGTCAGATGAGGGCGATATGATTTTTCAAAGATGACAACTGAATTCTGCCAGCAATCAGGTTTCGTGAAGAAATGAGTCCAAATTATGTTTCGAAGCTTCTAAACTATCATCCAAGTTATAATTTCAGCAATTTAGCTCTTTTAGTAAATCAATCTAGAAGGTCAAGGAAGACAACCACCAACCTCAAACCACCAACCACAAACCAGTTGCAAGTTGAAATATTGCCAATTATGTGGCTGCCATTGTCAAAGAAAGAAGGCCAACTTGTGAGAGTCAATGAGGGCTGCTGGTGCAGCTTTTGCAATCTCTTAACATTGTTAAAAAAGGAGGCTACAATGGTGGGTTGTTGGTGGCAGCTGCTAATGTCAAAGTTTGGCAAGTTTGGCAGCTACCATTGTTGACAAAGGAGTAAGAGGAGCTGTCATTGAAGCCTATAAATAGACACCAAGAGAGAGCTAAGAGGGAGGGAGAGAGAGTTCAGTAGAATCAAAGAAAGGAGGCAGCAACAAGAAGTGAATAAACACAAACTCTCCTCTCTAAATACCAGAAATAATGCTTTCTTCTATTTTTAGGAGTAGTTGTTCAATAGATATGCAAGGTTAAACTTGTTTTCTTGGTTGCAAGGACGCGAAAACCTTTAGATTTCAAGAACTGTGAGATTTATTCTTCCATTTATTTTCAGTTTGTATTATGAATGAGTATGATTGTTTTTCTATGCATATTTTTTATGATTGTTGTTGATAATTGCTAGAGCGGACTCTAAGTTATTATTGTGAATAATCTATTGCTAAGTTTTGTATCAAAACTAGAGTTATGGTATATAAACTTGTGAAGCAACTAAGCTTGATAATTGTGGCGGAACTACATTATTAAACTTAGGGAAAACATTCGATCAAAGCAACACAAGCAGACAACTTGGTTGTTAAGATTAATGAATTCATTAAGCAGACAACTTGTTTGTTAAGATCAAAGCAACACAATCTATTATAAATTTATCTAGATTAATAAATTCATTGGCACAACACTGATATCATGCATAAAATAATCGCAGAATAAAGTGGCTAACACGCGAACCCATAACTCAAGTTATTCTTGATGTTGTTTTTAAATTAATAAAGAACGAAAAGATTTCTATTCTATATTAAAAAAATACTCCTTTCTAATATTTTTAAATGTAGGTTTTTATTGTATAGTAAATTAAGTTATGGTGGATAATTTTTCTATTTAGCTTCTAATTATATGTATATTTATAATATCAAAAGATAACATTTGAAAATTAGAACTTAATATGAATAAGTATATTATTTCATGAATAACCATACTATTTCATAAATAGTTATACTGTTTCATGAACAATTACAGTATTTCATTAATAATCATATTATTTGATGAACAATCATATTGTTTTATCGTTATCTTTCAAGTTTATAAAAACATGTTACTATATAAAAAATAAACACAATAAAAATTATATATATATATATATATTATCTTATTTTTTTATTGTTTTTTAAGGTTTAAAGAGCTTAATTGTATTTTAAAAATATTATTTTTATATAAAATAAATAAACACTTTAAAAATAATATTTTCATGTTTTTAAACCAATTTTATATTTATTTTCATCCTAAATATTACTGGCAGTTATTTTTATGAGATGGAATGTAAACTTCTTTATAAACGAGAAAGGAGGACATAGCTAACAGCAAGAAGTCTTTCTTGTGTTTGATTTGGCCTGGTTCCATTAAGGATCCCAGGTGGATGCCAGATGATCTCCCAGAAAATGCTGGAGGTGATGAAAGATTCACAAAGAGGAGCTGCATGCATCCTCGTCGTACTATAAACCGTCAAGTTCAAAACACTTGATGAGCCACACTCGGAGCATCAAATACACAAATACGTGCAATGTAAAATGGTAGATTAATTCGAAATATATTGTATTGGATTTGGATGAGTTATGAAGAAAGGGCTGGGAATGATAAAACCTTGTAATACTATGCAATAATTTTGGGCCGAGGACCGTCTGGTACAACTTGAAAGCAAAAGACTAAATTACAATTCTGAATTAATCGATCATGCCACTCTGATCCTAGACTAACGATGGCACGAGGACCCGAATAATTTTCGGGGGTGGGTTTGGGCCTACTAACCATGAGAGACCTCGCCTAAGTTCAAAGTCAAAGAAATCTTCTTAGTCCAGCATCGAAGTGGTCTGTTGTCTTCCTTGTCTTGTCCAAGGTAGAAGAACTAGAAACCCTCGTCGAAGTACAGCTTAAACTCTTATACTGAAATAAACGAATAAATGGCAACTGAAAACAAGCCAAAGTCCAGTGCCAGTGTCACTACCAACAGCAAGAAGAGAAAGCAACGCTACCTCCCTCACAATGTATTCTTCTTTGTATTTCCTTTCTCTGTGTTTGTTGATATGTATTCACATATGTTGTGTTTCTTTCTTTTGATTGTGCCTGTCACTGCAGAAGCCAGTGAAGAAGAAGGGTTCCTACCCATTACACCCAGGAGTCCAAGGCTTCTTTATCACTTGTGACGGGGGAAGGGAGCGCCAAGCCTCGCGTGAGGCCATTAACGTTATTGATTCTGTATGTTTCTATATCTTTTTTATCTTCTACATTTCTTTCTTCTTCTTCTTCTTTTTTTTTTTAAAAATTCAACCAGGATAAATTGAAAATCGATTCGTGTGGTGACAAACACGGTGGTTGGTTATGGGAGAAAGATTTGCTTTTATGCTTCAAGGAGAATTCATTTGTGGCTGCCCCTTTAAACCAAGGTTTTGAGTTCTTATGCCAAGCAAGATTCGTTTATGGCGAGTCCTTAAGGACAGGGAAGGCTACCCTACCAACTTCGGACCGAAGAAATATTTATAGTGTCTTAATAAATTCCTTATGCAAGAATTCTGCTAGTCATGGGTGCAATTTTTTTTTCTTTTTCTTTTTTGCTCTTTCTGTTATCGTAATGACCGAGAAATGCATTAACTAGACTAATCAATTTAGAGTGTTTGTAGAAGTAGTGAATGCATCTTTCCCTTGATTTACAAGGTCAAATTGTGCACTCTTCATTGAGCTGCTGGTATTTGCACTTTTTTCTTGCAGTTTTATGAAGAATTAGTTTTTGGGAAGGATACTAGTGTGAAGCTTGCAGAGTTGCCTAATAAACCTATAAATAAAAAGATTAAGTTCTCATATTCTGATGTTGAGGGAGACGATGACGAAGAAAAGGAGGAGGATGAGGAAGATGGGTTAGATGAGAACATATCAGGTGCCCCCGAAGCCAATGATGGAAAGAATGAAAACCCAGCAGACGAAAAGTTAGGATCTCCTTGTCTAGAAAATGAGAACAGTGAATGTCAAAGAGAAGAAAAGACTAATCAAGAAGAGGGTTGTAAAAATGATAAAAAACAAGAACGTGAGGCAGAGGAACTACCAGCAAAGAAGAAATGCACAGAAACATGTGCCCCCAAGTCTGTTGGCCAAGAAAAAGTGGAGGAGAAATCCATTGATAAGCTGATTGAGGATGAACTCAAAGAACTTGGAGATAAGAACAAGGTGAGTCGCGTGGTTCCCCTCTTTC